TCTGTTATGTGTGGTTCACCAGCAATGTCGTTTGCACGATCAGCCTCATAGTTCATGTGGCTGCGTTCAAACAACCCTGAAACAACAACACATTTATTATTACTAAACAACTCGAAATCTTATTTTCAGACTTATTGTTGAAATAGTTATCGCGTTTTGTTCAATAGATGCATAAATCCATCTTCTATTTACAAATAAGTCTGCAAGGTCGCAACGGCCATTACTTGAAAACGGCCCAACTGGACGCAAATGTTCTCATTTTAAGACACGTTTCGATTTTTTTTTAAATTAATAGCATAACAATAATACCTAATAAAAAGTCTGTTTTCGCTGGGTCAACATTATTAAACTGATCTTCATTCCAGACATACATGGCAGACAGTGGGGGTTTACTCTCAATCCATTCTGTTATCAAATCTCTACCGTCAGTGCGATACCCTGTTCTGGTTGTCTCTTCCGGATCAGTTTGTGTATCCAACATAAAGTTCCTCCGTCCCCCTCCCAACACAACCTGCAATATTAATTATCAAAATAAAGTTGATATTTATCGAAAATTCCAGTGTTTGTACGACAAAAAACGAACACCATGGCGGGTGTTGTCATGAACTTGGGCACAAATATGGCGCACCAGAAACCTGTAGATAATAGTATATTTACGAACTTCAGTGGTGTAAAAAAACGAAATGGATATGCTAGTTTAGGCTGTAGTGGGAGAGATTCTTTTGTGTTCAAAATAGACCTTACTACATCGTTCGTCAATAGGTTTATTTACGTTCCTGACCTTACTTATACCACAGTTCGTGTTGAGGGACTGTGCTTATACGTGATTGGCGGAATAAAAAATGTACATTGGGCTGGAACAAAAAAATCCTTGAATTTTCAAGAAGACCTTACCTGTATACCAGTATTTTCTACCAGCTGTATTGCAATATCACGATCACATCCTGCGTCTCGTTCGGCTGTCGGAATAGCGCCATCGTATTCCCAGTATCTGTCTGGAATGTGGGCATATGAGGCCGATGGTGTGGCGTGAGTAACTCTAGTTGTCGTGACGACGCCAACAGACATTCCTGCAAGATTAGTGTACTTGTTATATGAATAAGTAAAAATATTCCCACATTTGTAATCGAAACCTGTGTATATTCAGCTGCCGCGTGATTTATATTTCGCCTACGCATTTATAAATAATTTGTCTTAATACATATTTATTCGTCCTTCAGAGTTAGCCAATAATAATGAATTGTACATCTCAGATCAAATATAATGCGGAGTCCGAATAAACCACACATTCCGTTTTTTGGAAACCCCGGGCTCTACCAACAGCCTCTATATTCTGTTTTATGTTGTTTTGAACAGAACGTTGTTCAGTAAATAAATATGTGTAACATCAAGGGTTATAAAATAATTGTTGAAATAGTAATGCCATGAGATTTATCCGAGAATACGTAGAACTTGTGTTATATTTGAATTTATTCAAATCACTACAAATCCCAGATGTCAATTATTAGATTTTCTGATTCTAAATAATTCTTACCGTGTTGTTGAGCTATCTCTAAAATAGATGGTATTTCCGACCCTATACTTGCTGCGCAGTCTCCGCGCGTTGAGCCATCGTCCAAACCAATTACTCCGTACTTAGTCTTAGCTCCACAGAGGTATGCAGTGGCCGTGCCTGCTGAATCGGGTGTCTGACGATCAGTGTTGTACGTCTACGTCCAAAATATGATTGATACATGGATCATACACCAAAATAGTGAGACCGGTGCAACAATTTAATAGTTTTCAATGACTGGCTCATGCCACGGGATATATAGCGTAATCAACTCACAATTTGGCTCCCTCTGGTACGTACTCACACGTGACATTCTTCATGGGAGAAAGGATAACGTTAGCGGATATGTGAGTAAATACGAAACCTACCTTTGACATACCAACATGAGGAAACTTGTCCATATTTAGTTCGTATTCTTCTCCTGTCTGTCCGTTATCCTGACCTTTCTTAATACGTGCACTCGTCACAGTTGCAACGCCCATACCATCACCCAGAAATATAATGATATTTTTGGCAACATTTTTGTTCAACTTTTCTAAGTTAACCGCCCTCTGTAGTGTTTCCTGTGCCTGTGCGTACCAGTCAGCTGCGGCTGGAATTCCGCAAAACAAAATAAAGCACAATATTTAACCGTTACATGTACGTTTTCCGGTGCAAAACTGGCATAAGTAATGTAATAACAAGTGTACCAAACTATTACCAAACTGTACCAAATAAATTGCAATCCATGTATAATCCGTAACAAGACAACACAAGTTAATTTTAAGCAGTCGGACCCCTCTTGTAGTTTGAGTATTTAAATAATAAATGTCGACAGTTGAATGACGTTAGTCTTAAATGAATGTCGAATACAATATATAAATTAAAGAGGCAATGTATTTGACGTCTTAATGAAGGCACGAGTCTTCATTGTAACATCAAAGTGCTGGTTTTACAACAAACATCACAATATATATTTATTACATTTAACCACACGTACAGATAATTCGAAGCGCATGCACACTGACGTTGAACGAAAACTGCCAAGTTTCGACAAATCGTATTCTATTGTTTTATTGTAATATAAAATACAATTATTTAAACATTCAATAAAATATTCAACGTTATCGACATTGTCCCTTTAAAGAAATCGTACATTATTTCGAATACGGGTGTCACGAATATCAGTAACTGAACATAACTTCATAGCCTTTTCTTTCGTTCTTATTGCAATTGAAATGTGAGCGCATAGTTCTACTACAAATCGAATATTTCATTGGTACGAGCTACGTTTTCTCAACAACGGTGGCAGTTATTATTATGACAGTTCTTGTGTCTATTTTTATCATTCAATCATGATTACCGTACATCAAGACTGAATGAAGGCATCATAAGAATGAACCAATGTGAATATTATAATGAATTTACTCCTTTTCCACTATTTAACACTTTATATATTAAACTATTAAGATACTATATATTGTACTTACGTTGTGACAATGCTGACTCAACGGCAAAACCGACGACAATTATAGCTATAACAGCATATATTCGTTGCTCCATGGTCTAAGATTGGGGCGTTGGAAGCGAATGATCTTGTCATGAGTTGTCAAAATAAAAAAAATGTCATCAATGAGAAACATGACATCTGTATGGGTTTAATCTATTTAACATTATCATTTAGCAATTAATCAAACTATACGCTGACATAAACATTGCCCTATTTCCAGATATATACATGGATATTATGAACAATATGTACGTTTTAGAAAGGTGTGAATGAGTTTTTTGATATAAAATATTTTTAAACGTTTATTAATTTTTAATTACGGATGAAATCATCTTGACCAATTACAATGCTCCAATTACAATGCGAATGAATACCACCTATATACGTGTTTGTTACGTATATTTTGACGATTATAAGTTATGATAAGTTAGAAGAAAATGATATGGAAATATGACAAGATTGTGACGTGGCCATTCGACAACAGCAGACATGCAGCGCAGAAGTGTTTGGTTTGAACTTAGTCATCGTTTCAGTTTATAGAAGAAAACCAGTGCTCACTGGTCAAGGTGGTCCTGAATCCTGTTGCGATGCTTGTCTGTGGATGATTTCACCTCTAATCTAATAGAGAATATCCATGCATTGCAATGTATCTTTCCATGGAAGGACAGTAACCATTCAATTTCTCAACAAAAAAACTTCCTTAAAAAACTATCACGAGCATTTTTATCAGGGACACTTCCATGTTGTAGTCACCAGTGTAATTTAGCAAATAGACGAGTAATATTTATGCCAAAACACAAAACTATGAAAACATGGGTGGGGAAGTTATCAGTGTCACAGCTCTCGATATAGTGACACTCTCCCATATGAGCAGCTTGTTAGGAAACCTATACATTTCTTACGACTGTGATTTAGGCACATGGGCATAAAATAGGGAAAATTGGAGAGCACCAAGATAAATCCGTGGGATATCGAGGCAATAATGCAAAATTATTGGCCAAATTAGCCGAGGTGGCATGGTTGGCTTCAGTCAAAACAAAATTGAATCATTGTATACCAAAGTTAAATTAAACACTTGTCATAGTTCCACCTCCTATCGATCTTGTCGGTCCCTTCAACACCTTTCATGTCAGCTAATGCATCATTTATGTTTTCTTTAGTCACAAGGGAGTCAGCCATTGGTTGGGTCACAGTCTCCATTACCATTTTAACATTACCATTTTGGCAGCTTTCAGTCCAATTAAATGTGTATCAGAAAACAAAATAACTATAACTCGATAACACTCAAATGTCACCCAGCTCGTAGCCAAATAGTTCATAATTACTGGTGGTTGTTTGAAAATTTAAGCAGATTATCTTAAGTAGCCAGGCGGGCCTGGAGTTGGCTAAATCGTTTCCATGCACTGGTGAGGACGACGTAACAACCCAATGCACGATGATCACCTACAAGTCTGATTTTTTTTGACATGGTCAATGATGCCACAGGAACCGGACAATTGTCATGACAATAAGCACAACCGAGTTCAATTATGTCAATGGGAACACAACAGAATATTTGCAGACCCTGCCTTTGCAGGACACCACACGAATAAACCAAAATGTGTTATATGATATTCCCAACTCAAATCCATGCAATCACTTCATGTTTGATTGGGTATCCAGGGTGATTGGTCAAAATAACGAGCCAGTTAACTTTTACCACTATAATGTAATTTTCTGTGTTGAAAACTTGACATGGGCCAAAGGATATCTATTACAATACTTTTATGTGAGTGATTCGTCATGTGAGTTGTCAATTCATCATCAGAATTGAGCGATGGGCTGAATACAACTTCAGAGCTGTGCTAAAGAGTTTAACACTCCCATAATGACTTTCCGTTTTCGACATTGTAACATTCTTTTGTTTTATACAGAATATACAGTATTTTATCATGTAAAATCATATTATTTTATACACGAGTTGTTGAACACACATAGTTTGTAATTCATTCAGCTTCTTTCAGTCTTTCAGTGCAAGACAAATGTAAAGCAAAAATATAACAAATTATTTGCGTTCTTTAATATTCTTGTGTAATCGGAAATTATGAAATTATGATTGGTGTGTGTATGGAATACATTTCGTTATGAATTATTCTTAACATATTTCTGAATTTTCTTATCAAAATCAGTTGTTCTCATGTTTGAAAGAATGTCACAATGTCGAAAACGGAAAGTCTATAAGGTAGTGTTATTTAGCATCATCATGTATCTAGGTCTACCATTTTGTTTGACATCTCAGTGGATGTACACAATACGATTCATTTTAATAAGTTTAATTTTGTAAAGTAGCACTATAAACAGCAATGTAGGGCCTACATCAGACAAGTGACGTCATGTGTGCGACATTATTAAACACATGTCTGCAATCGCCCAACACAGTCAAAAAATCAATTCAAGTGAACACATTTAAATTGTATTTATTTTAATTAAATTATATTAATTAGAAATTATTGGTGAGCAGTTACATTTTAAAAATAAGTGTCATATTTTAATTACGGACACGCAGCTGTATAATTACCAATACAAGCTGCGTATTGCATTACGTGACTTATATAGTGTTGTTCGTGAATGCCGTGTATTAGATGAGCCATCGGCCCATCAGCAAATATTAACACGTCTTCCCCTGCATGTTCTGATGATACCTGTTGTACCAATGCCTGTTGTATGTACACATCTGCCTCTGAAAAATGCAACATAGACCATTGATAAGTTAAAAAATACTTTTAATAAATAAATTCACATGCAATATACTTTACGGTAAAAGCAAGTATTTTATTTGGGAAATGCAAAGTACTATTTGCAAAAGGGGGTCAGTAAATAGTGAGCAACATTTTGCACACCCCCCCCCCACAAATCTTCAAACAAATAACGGCACGGTAGAATACATATTTGAAATACCACGTTACCCAACCTTGCCACGTTATCTATGCGTACGACGTTATCCGAGCAAACAAAGTTACCCAACCCGGCTTACCACGATATCAACCATGGTACATTATGCAACCTTGCCACGCTATCCAACCTTACAACGTTATTCAAACGTGCCATGTTATCTAACCTTATCACCGTATCCAACCGTGCCACGTCATCAAAATATGCTGCACCTTTCTGCAAATGTCGTATACACAGTATCCACACATAACGCCGTATCTCATGACGCACACTTACCAGTATCAGTATCAGTTATATCGCCTCTATTACCACTTGTCCGATAGTTTTGATCCACAGTTATACCACCAGGGCCATTCGTATATAATATAGTGGTGTATGGCAATCCATCGGCTCCAATGTCTTTGTCGGCCTTACCTGTTATTAATTAATTAAATGTGTGTTATTTAAGGTAGCGAGAAGGGAAATTTTCACTTTTTTGGTGGATTTATTCTTCAAAAATTGCCTTTAATTTATTAACGATATTCAATAGCTATTTCAAATAATACATATATGAAACATTAAACACGTGACTTGTAAAATTAGGGGTTTACCATTAGAAATTCTGAGGGCGAGGCAGAATTTAAAAAAAATGCACAGGAAAAAATACAGCAGCATGCATACATTTCAGAGAAAACATATTTCACAATAATGCAAATAATGAAATAATGCAAATTCTTCAAGGGAAAAAAATAGTACAAAACTAAAGACAACTATATTTTGCACAGTTGTTCTGCCATTGCATCACCAAGCGTTTCTAATGCTCCCCTCTTATTTGGAAAATTAATATTGTATTATTCCCAAACGAGGAAAGCAAACCACACACTCGTATATCTTACGTAATCAACAATTACTCGGTAATAAAATGAAGTGAGTACTGAGCCTAAACTACATTTATTCTCACCGAGTATTGGATTGCCTCTGCTTTGGTAACCATTGACAACATTTGTGTGACTGTGGTCGGCTGTAACAACAATCATAGTGTCTGTCGATGACGTCATATTCTTTGCCATCTCTATAGCATCGTCAAATGCTATGCCATCATAAAGAGCATTAGAGGCAACGTTGGCATGGTGTGCATGATCAATACGACCACCTGTTTAATAATAGAAAACACAACCAATAAGGTCAGTGTCAAAAAATACTTAAATAGGGAAAGGTCGTTTTCTGACTGGCCAACTGGTTATTAACTGGCGAGTATTTAGATCGGAGAAACAGGAAACATGCACCCCGTCGAGTCGACTGTTTACAGGTATGAAAGCCTGTATTTTACAAACTTGTGAATATCCCAGTTGTGTCGTAGCATATATACAAGGCGGTATTTGATACGTCGGAAAAACAGTCAATAAACAAGCTTCTTTCTCAGTGATTGGTTTAACTGTTAGATGTTAAGGTTGGGTAGCCAATCATACGCAATCTCGTTAGTAGCTTCGCATTGTCTCGAATACTCTGCTGTATAATTCAGTATTAATGATTGTGGGTTTTAACCTGGTCGCAATCTAATTTTGGTTGACTATTACGTCACAGTTCAGTATGACAGTTACTGCAGCAGAGATTCGGTAAAAATTCAACAGTCAAATAAGATTAATTGGTTTAATAGATATGATCGAACCAAACAAGTTTATGAAGTTCAGTTGTATGTTCTTTAATAAAATTCTCGCAGAATTGTCACCAATGTAGAGCGTAAAACAAACAAATTTATTTTTTCTATTGCTACAAGTTCAGGTACCCAATAATCCTTTTTATCAGTTCTTTTTCATTTATTTTGATGAAAATTTTCTCTCAATAAAATAATTCTCCATGCTTTTTAAGAGACGTCAAAAGATCGATGTCGGATAAAAAACTTATTTCCTTTAGTTTGGGGGGTGGGGGGTTTTTGACCTCAAAAAAGTTTCCATCCTTCAAAAACGATTTTATTTTTAATGAATCAAAAGCAATCTTGGAGTATTTGTATTCGTTTTTTATTCTAT